TGACCTCGCATTTATAATGAGGGTTATAACAAAAATAAAGCCTTGTGAATAACAAAGAAAACCGTGTCAATTGATAAATAAGTTGCAGATATGACCCTGAAATAGTGATAAGGAAATGTGATATCGTATCTATCGAGATAACAGGTGGCGATTTCTGTCAGGTACCTGAGTTTCCACACACACCTGACCAACCTCTCGTATACCACTTTTTATATATAGTTGGTATAAATTTAGAAAACTTATCTTCAAACATTCTGTTTTGCTTGGCGAAAAAGATGAAAGGAAAAAAGTCAATGCTTCAAATTTATGAAGATTACTCAAGTCTTTTTCCTAGCCTAATTTGTTTAGATATTGTCCATAAAAGCAATATTGGAAGGTTATTCCAAATTTCTAAACTTGTAGCTAGATCAATATAGCAAGGTCTAATAGCCTTTGTAGATGCTTCCGACAGTCTGCTTCAAATGCTGGCCACAAATTGTCATGTGATAATATGATACGTATGATTCTTAATGGAAAAAATTCCATTCATTTTTGTCCTATGTCGGTACTCATGAAACTCATTTTGGTTTCGAAAGCCTGGGGGATTAATATAACACTACTAATGGTACTACTCAAACATGTAGTCTGAAATAGTACAGATAATATGCCTAGGTTTTTGGTGTGAGAAAGAAAAAAAGATCACTCTGCAAACTACAATTGAAATTAATGTTAAGCATGAGATGTTACACAAAGGAACTTTTAGACAATGCGTGTGATCATTGACATAGCGAGGCATACAGGTTACAGAGCAAGTCTACAATATGCTCAGCTTTGTGTGAAACTTTCAGTTCTTAATCGGTCGAAAATGTTCATGAAAGTAAACTGACAACAATCCGTCACAAGACAAGCTTATCTTAGCCTAGTAACACCCCTTGTAAAACCTTAGTTAATAGTTAATTTACTATGGTAAAACTAGTCTGGCAAAGACTGACGGCTTTGCATTCAAATTCCTGCAGGACAATTGACAGAAAAAACAAACAAACAAGAATAACGACATGTTATTTCAATGGAACATATTTTTTCACCTAAGAAGATAGGAAATTAATAATAATGATAATAAAAGATTTCGTGGAAAAATGTATAACCCTAACTTAAACCTAAACCCTAAGGATTAGTGAAATAAAAAATAAATAAATGAATAAATAAAACACATTGATGAAAAAGGTCTTACAGGAAACAAGCACGGGTCAGGAGTCATTAAATAACATCAAAATACACTAGTGATTCAGATATTCAAGCGGATGAATTGATACAATGATGTATAGATGAGAATTATTGAAACTATATAATTCCTGACGTACTTACTTGGCGAGTATATCGTACGTTCATGGCAAGAAGACAAGAGATAATTTTTTAATCAGCTACGACGGTGTCAAGCATCGACAAGAGATAGTAATAGCACAACCTGTTCTTTACAATGTCGGCTCATCTATAACCCATATGCGCTAAAGTCCAGTGACCAAGAACAATGCCCTGATAAAAAATTCAGCCGGTCACGAGTCGTTGTCAGGGTTTAGTTCATTTTTGCGCTCTCAAGTGAAACTGTCAAGCCCACAACACACGAGGGAGGAGAGAACAAACTGAGATAAAAATGAAAGGACAACAGAATGATGCGAGGGACGTATTTGACGCACGTGTGGGGGTCACTTAGGTCAGGCAATACGCCGTGGTGCCTGCAGTTACCAAAGCGTGGCCTTTTACCAAGACATCCGTGCCGATTCACGCTTTAAACTTAAACACGCTATCGACTCCTACGCTTACATCCTTACAAAAAACTTCAGCAATGCATTGGTTCATCAAAAAAAATCTATTTTAGGCACTCTGTAATACTGTTCTTAAACGTTTGGAATCTATAATGACATCAATGGCAAACAGATATACATGCTTCCATATGGCTTGATGTTTGTATATATTAGCGATCTCTGCTGGATGACTGTATTTGTATAATGGAATTACAAAAGTTTTTTTTTTAATTAGAAAGCTTGTTTGTTGTATGTAGGAAATGAATTTCTACGGAAACAATGTTACCGAGCCTAGAGACACTAGCTTTTCATTCATTCACTTTAGATAACTTGATAAAATCAAATGAAATCAGGAAACTATGATGTTTGTACACTATTGTTATACTTTATAAAAGTTGCCAAAAAGAAAGACAGAGGATGATTTTTGACTTTATTTGATGTTATAGCAGATGACTTTTAGCTATTATGGCGGGTGTGTGTTTGGGGAATTTGAAGTGTACTAGAGGGACTCTGCTTTTCTGTGTGAAAATCAATACTGCAAATGCGCTCTTCATTAATGTGAACGCCTTTGAAATTTAGACTTTTCGACCTGCCAACCTTTTTCTGTTGAGTTCGAGTTGATGTTGAGAAAAAAATTATGTTGAAATTATGTTTGATATATTTAAATCAATATAGAAACTGAAATACTACCTTTATTTTTCCCATCAAATACTACTCAATATTTCTGGTACTAATGCTCTGTCTTCACATAGTTGATATTAACTATGGTATTGCCTCATGTTTAGAGGAGGGATCAAAGGAACTATTCAAAAATTAGTTTTATATCGGGCAGCAAATTAAAATAGAAATCTATGACAAGATGTTTTTTGGGTTGTTGATAATGGACTGTCTGATAATTTGTCATACCTCTTGTTTAATGTTCATCAAACAAGTAATACAATTGCCAACTGCAATTGCCTTTTAATCGGAGGAGGTTAAGCACCACGGGGGATGGGCAACGCCCAACGCCATGGCTGAATAACAAATACGTTCTATAAAGAAAGCTGCATATTTTAATGTGGCTGCCACAAGGTAGCAGAAGGTAGAATGAAATTGTATTATTTCAGTTGTCACTGAGTCTTCTCTTTTTTTTTTTTTTTTTTTTTTTTTTTTTT